CTCTCTCTCTCTCTCTCTCTCTCTCTCTCTCTCTCTCTCAAAACCTCCTTCTCTTCTGTGACTGGCTGCTATGGTCCTGCTAATAAAATCTCGGACAGGTAAACGGTTGTTTTGGCTTGTTGGGTTTATGGAGCTTTTCCACCATTCCTTACAATTAGAGATCCTTTGAGCTTCCTGGACCTGAATGTCCATATCTTAAGATTTGAAAGTTTTCACCAATTATTTTTTTAAAAAATTTCTTTTCTATGCTTTTTCCCTTTTCTTCTCCTGGAACAGTCATAATGCCCATGTTTTCTTGCTTGATAGTATCTCTGAAGTCTCTAAGGCTTGCTTCATACTTTTCAATTTTTCTTTTTTTTTCTTTTTTAAAAATCTGAATCATTTCAAAAGACCTGTCTTCTCAGAAATTCTTCTGCTTGACCAATTCTGCTGTTAAGTCACTTAACTATTTTTTATACCATTTATTGAGTTCTTTATCATTAAGAGTTGTGATTGGCTTTTTATTTTTCTTTTGACACTAGAGATTGAACCCAGGGGTGCTTTACCAATGAGCCACATCCCCAGCTCTTTTTATTTTTAATTTTGAGACAGGGTCTCACTAAGCTGCTTAGGGCCTTGCCAGGTTGCTCAGGTTGACCTAGAACTTACAAACCACCTACCTGCCTCAGCCTCCAGAGTTTTTAGGATTCCAGGTGTGGGTGAGGATGGCCTTAGGCCTGAGCCTAAGCAACTCCATTTTAAAACTCCAGTTTGAAACCTGCAGTCTCCCCAGGTACACCCACAGAGCCCTCCAGTATGACCTCAAACAAGTTACTTCCCCTCACCCTGATAAACAGAGTGAAGCCCCTGGCAGGCTGTCCTGGCCTGATAAGAGGGAAAGGCAAGAAGATCAGGGTGGAGACCACCAGACCAAATGTCATGGAGAAATCCCATGGTAGCTAATAGGATTGAAAGGGGGTCAAAAGCCTCAAAATTTAGTTTAAATAATAGAGCTGATGAAAGGGATTCAGCCAGCCAAAACAAGGATGCACTTGAGCTAGAGAGCCTGATGAGGACTTGACATCCCATTACTTGTCCTTGGTTCCTGATCCTTTGCATGATCCTCACTGCTCTCAAACTCTACTGCCTGGTCTGGACCTTGGTGAGAGCCACAACTTCTCCCTAGGATCCTCTCCTCAACTAGTCGTCCACTCCATGCCAGGAAAAGCCTGCCTTGGTTCCAGACCCTATCACCTTGTTCTAAGTGAGTGTGCATTGGTTCCAGACCCTATCACCTTGTTCTAAGTGAGTGTGCATCTGCTGGACATAAAGCCTAAGGCTTGAGACTTTTGAACTTAGCATGGAGAGGGAATGTCTGTCACCTGTCATGATTAAGTGTTTTTGAAGTACTTAGAATTAATCTAGAATTGTTTGCTGTGAATGGATTATGTCTATTGCAGTGCCTAGTATAAAGGATTGTCATTTTCTTGATTAAGAACCTGTAGAGGGAAACTGTATTGAGTAATTTGAGTGAATAAAGCATTGAAAAGGGCGGAAGCGCATGGACATTCTTTATTTCTCCCCTCGACTGCATTTGATGCAATTTTTCCCCCTTGTGAACAGTGTGTGCCACTACAACCAACTTTGCATTCTGTTTTTTTTTTTTTTAATAGTACTGAGGATTGAACCCAGGAGTGTTCTACCACTTGAGTAGCATGCATAACTCTATTTATTTATTTTCCTAGTCCTTTAAAAATTTTTACTTTAATACAGGGTTTCACTAAGTTGCCTAGGTATGAGGATAGCCTTAGGCCTAGGCCTAGGCCTAAGCAATACCATTTTAAAAACTCCATTTTGAAACCTGCAATCTCACCAGGCATGCCTAATGGAGCCCTCCAGTATGGCTCTCAGGCACAAACAAGTCACTTCTCCCCCACCCTGATAAACTCAGAGTGAAGCCTCTGTCTGGCTGTCCTCACCAATAAGAAGGAAAGGCAAAAAGATCAGGGTGGGGACCACCAGACCATGTTTTAACCCCAGGGTAAATGATGTCACTGAGACTCAGTGGCACCTGATTGAAAGGGGGGGTTCACAGCCCCCAAATTTGGCATAAATAATAGAGCAAATGAACAGATAGCCAGACAACACTAATGCCCTCATACTGAGAGCCTGATTAGGACCTGGACTGGCATTCCAACACTTTTCACTGTTGCTGATCCTCTGCATTTTCCTTACCACTCTCAAACTCTCAGCCATATCTTGACCCTGGTGAGAGTCACAACTTCTCCCTAGGACCCTCTCCTCAACCAGCCATCAGCTCCACCCCAGGAGAAACCTGCTTTGGTTCCTGACCTGATCACCTTGGTCTAAGTGTGCATGTGCTGGACCTAAAGCCTAAGGCTTGAGACACTTGAATTTAGCACGCAGAGGGAATGTCTGTCTTGAGCCTGTCCTGATTAAGTGTTTGTAGTGCTTAGAATAATTGATCTAGAATTGTTTGCTGTGAATTAATTAATCTAGAATTATTTTCTGTGAATTGATTATGTCTATTGCAGTGCCTAACATTATGGATTGTCGTTTTCTTGATTAAGAACCTGTAGAGTGAAATTGTGTTGATGATTTGAGTGAATAAAGGATTGACTAGGGCAGAAGTGCATGGACATTCTTTATTTCTCCCCCTCAACTGCATAAATCAAACCTTTTGCCCATCATGACACTAGGCTAGCCTCACACTGGTAATCCTCCTGCCTCAGCCTCCTGAGTAGTTAGGATTATATGCCACTATGCCCAACTCTAACTGGTTCTTTTAAATATTTTATTTGTTTGTTTATTGGCTTTAAAAAATGGTTTATATCTCTTTGCTGAATTACTCATTTATATCATATAATTCTGTTGGATTGTCTATCTGTATTCCCTTAAATTTCATTGTTTTCTGAAATTCATTCTTTTGAATTGTCAGGCAGCTCATTCATTTCCTTTTCTTTGAGGCCTGTTGCTAAAGAGTTATTGTGTTTCTTTGGAGGTGTCATGTTACCTTATCTTTCACCTTCTGGTGAATCTGGCAAGGCAGTTGTCTTTACCAATTTTGTAGAGTGGCTTTGTAGTTAAGACTTTTTTGCTGGTGCTATGTGCTGAAGTGTCTGTCAATTGGATATACTATGTTGACTGTGGTTCTAGATGGATGCTTTAGTGTAATGTCCATCTAGTTTCTTCAGCTGTGGTCCATGTTGGTGATGTCTGATTGGAGTTTCCTTTCTAAGTTTCGCCTTAGGAATTGTTTTAAACAATTTTAATCTCCTTAGGAATCAGACAATAAAGAGATGATCACATAATTAACTACCAAATAAGATAACCAGATAAATAACAACCCCAATCCAATTTCAATAAAAACACTAACATAGGCTAACATTTCCTCTATACTTACTGGGTGTGAGAGGAAGCATAGGGTATAGAAAAAAAAGCTTGAGTTCCTAATCAGGCTGCTAAAATCCAAGCATCACTTTCTCCTGGGCAAGTTATTTAACTGGCCTATACTTCAGGGTTTGTTTTAATCACACCAGGGATTGAACTCAGAGGTGTTTAACCACTTAGCCACATCCCCAGCTCTTTTAATTTTTTTCTTTTGAGATAGATTCTTGCTAAGTTGCATAGGGCCTCATTAAGTTGCTGAGGTTGGTTTTGAATTTTTGGTCTCCTTGCCTTAGCCTCCTGAGTTGCTGGGATTATAGGTGTGCACCACTGTGCCTGACTGTTTTTTCATTATAAAAATTGGGATGATAGTATATTCTCATTAGGGAGGCTAGGATTTAAAATCAATGATATGTATATTCTATGCTTAATGTAATTATTTACACATAATATGACATTTATGGAACTTTGTAATGTGCTAAGCACTTCACATATCATGTGTTTTCACATATCATTCCCACAACTTCCCTTTAAGGCAGGTATTATTAACTTCCTAATTTTATGGATGAGGAAATTGAGGCTGAGAGGTTAAGTGCCAAATTTGTGTACCAACAGCAGAAATTTAATATATATATTTATTAAATTATCTCTAAATAACTAAATTAAATTAATAATACAAGGTGCAGTGGCACATGTCTGTAATCCTAGCCATTCAGGAGGCTGAGGCAGAAGTATTGCAAGTTCCAGGCCAGCCTGGACAACTTAGGGAGAACCTGACTCAAAATAGAAAAGGGCTAGGGATATAGCTCAGAGCTAGAGTACCCCTGAGTTTAATCCCCAGTATCCTCCCACACACAAAAAAAAGGTCTTTGAACTTGAATGAAATGAAAAGTAGAATTTTGTGTGCCCCTCTCTGTTCAACATCTGATGGAGAGAGAGGATAATATAGGCTTCCTATTTAGAGGCATAAGAATATTTTTACCCTTTTTGGTAGTATTCTGTATTTTTAAGTCTTAAGTGTGATACCAGAAAACTTTGTAGAATGTGAATTTAACATATTGATAATGGGAACATTTAATTTCTATAATACAATGATAAAAATAGATTGAAGAAATTTGTTTTTAGTGCTATTTGCTGGAATAAATTATTATACTTGGCTGTGAGAATGTTTTCTTCTCATCCTTTATACTCAATTCTAATTCTGGCCCCATGCAGTATGTTGGGAAATCTGAACTTATTACACCTCTCAAAGTCTAGTGGGTATGGGAGTGTCTTGTATTCCCCACGGGATTTTGAAGCCATTTAAAATCATTTCTGCACACCTTAAATCTCAGCAAATCTGTGGGCTGAGATAGGAAGATGGTAAATTTAAGGCCAGCTTCTGTAATTTAGTGAGACCCTAACCAACTTAGCAAGATTCTGTCTCAAAATGAAAAGGGCTGGGGATGGAGCTCAGTGGTAAAGCACCCTGGTTTAAATTCCCAGTACCAAAAAAAAAAAAAAATCATTCCTGAATAAGTCTTATTCTTCTGGGATTCTCTGGTGTTAGGTAGGGGAGGCTGAACTTTTTTGGATGTCTTAGGCCCACATCAGGGTCCTGGTTTGTCTGAGCTCAGCCTTGCAATTTCAGACAGAGCTAGGAAGAAATTTTGTGGCACATGACCATTTGCTTAGATACCTTTCTCCTATGTTTTGGGCCAGACCTTGTGGAGTAGGATGTTAGTAAGATATCCTTATAAGTGCTTCTGAGAAGGTTGTTCTTTTGTCTTTTTCCTTGCCACTTACCGTACTATTTCCATTATAGCCTTTCTGGGTAGGGCTGAAGTCTCTACAAGCTTTGATAGGATTTCAAATAATAGGATCCCCGGGTTGTCAGTTAAATCTAAATAGGTTTCCTTTTCTGGAACTATGGAAAAGGAAACAGATTTCAAAATGCATTCTGAATAAATCATTCATCAAAAAGTAATATAATAGATAATATTTTTTATTTTTTGAATTTTTTAAAATATTTATTTTTTCTTAGTTCTCAGCGGATACAACATCTTTGTTTGTATGTGGTGCTGAGGATCGAACCCGGGCCGCATGCATGCTAGGCGAGCGTGCTGCTGCTTGAGCCATATCCCCAGCCCACAGATAATATTTTTTAAAAAATATTTTTTAGCTGTCAATGGACCTTTATTTATTTATTTATTTATTTATTTATATGTGGTACCTAGAATCGAATCCAGTGACTCACACATGCTAGGCAAGCACTCTGCCACTGAGCCACAACCCCAGCCCTACGGATAATCTTTTTACTGAGTATTTCTTATAATAACATCAAGTAAGGGATTAGAGATATAGTGATCATTAAAATTTTGTTCTAATTGGTAGAAAGTTAATTTTGATTACTTGACCAGAGTAATCCCCAAATATAAAAATACTTTTAGTTCAATGACTTCTAAGTAAATATAGTAATACTTTCAACATAAGCATGAACTGTATGCTATGAACTACTGTTTTGTTCTTCTAGGCAAAGAATTTTTTGATAAATTTATCTCTGGTTTGCAGGAAAACTCCCACTACTATCAAAGTATTTGCAAACAGTAACTTTTATCTTTATCTTAACCCTTTATCTTAAGGACAATTCATAATTTAGGAATGGGCCTGTTTTCAAAACTGTGTGCAATATTTGGAATTTGGAATGTATTTATCCTAGAAAGCAAGATATGAAAAGTGATTAGATTTTCCAAGGAAGGTTGTTAAGTTCCTAAACAAACCGTGAGAGTACAAATAACAATATTTCAAGTATACCAATAGAGCATGTATAGCCTTGTGTGAGAAAATGCTCTTAACCACAAGCAGACTTTCACAAGGGTAGAGGCATCATCAGAGTGAAGATATACTTTTTCTTTTCTTTCTTTCTTTCTTTTTTTTTGGTACCAGTGAACCTAGGGTGCTCAACCACTGAGCTATATCCACAGCCTTTTTTATTTTTTCCTTTGAGACAAGGTATCATAAGTTGATAAGGATAGCCTTAAACTTGCCATCCTCTTGCCTCAGACCTGCTGGGATTGCAAGCATGTGCCACCATGCCTAGCTAAGAGGTATATTTATAAATTTATTATTTTTATTTGTTCTACTTAGTTGTACATGACAGCAGAATGCATATCAATTCATTATACATAAATGGGGCACAGCATTTCAATTCTCTGGTTCTGTATGAAGTAGAGATGTACCACCGTGCAATCATAAATGTGCCTACGGTAATGATGTTTACATCATTCTACCATCTTTCCTACCCTCATAAAGGAAGTATTTTTTAAAGAACAGTATATTATCAGCCAGGCACTGTGGCACATGTATGTAACCCCAGCAACTTTGAGGATCATAAATTTGAAATCAACCTTAGCAACTTAGCAAAACAAAACAAAACAACAACAACAACAAAACCCAAAACTGGGGATGTAGCTCAGTGGTAAAGTACTCTGGGTTTAATCCCTAGTACTAAAAAGTAAAACAAGCAAGCATATAAAAGACCCTATTATCTATGCCCCAAATCTTCATGAGAGCATGTTTCTTTTTCTAAAGAAATTTTTTTTCTTTTGTAAAAGGAATGCCTCTGAAAGTAGTGCACATCCTCAGTAAGTAATTAAAACACTATGAAATGAGACTAAAATTTTCTACCCTTGTTACTTCCTAAAGGTTCTCATTGGAAACTAAAGGGCAGTATCATGTGAAGTAGGTCTTTAGACAATACCAGTACCTGCATGATTATTTAAATTAAAATTCTAAAACTGGGTTTGGGCATGGTGCTGTACATCTATAATCCCAGATAAGTGGAAGGCTGAGGTAAGAGAATTCCAAGTTTGAAGCCAGCCTTGGGCAACTTAGTGAGAATTTGTCTAGAATGAAAAATAAAAACTGGAGGTATAACTCAGTGGCACAGCACCCCTGGTTCAATCCCCAGTACCAGATGACCACCACCACCACACACACACACACACACACA